CTCGTTTTTTCTTGTTTCTCTTTGTGTTTCGTTTCTCTCGCTTTTTGCTCTAATTTTTCTCATTTTCTTCCTCCACTTTCCACCGCTCAAATGGCAGAAAACGGTTAAATTCAAATCTGAGATACCAGGCGCACAGAAATCAGCAGAAGGTCGCTGCTTTTTTTAAATTCTCGTTTTTTCTTGTTTCTCTTTGTATTTCGTTGCTCTCTCTTTTCGCTCTAATTTTTCTCATTTTCTTCCTCCACTTTCCACCGCTCAAATGGCGGAAAACCGTTAAATTCAAATCTGAAATACCAGGTGAACAGAAATCAGCAGAAGGTCGCTGCTTTTTTTAAATTCTCGCTTTTTCTTGTTTCTCTTTGTGTTTCGTTGCTCTCTCTTTTCGCTTTACTTTTTCTCATTTTCTGCCTCCACTTTCCACCGCTCAAATGGCAGAAAACGGTTAAATTCAAATCTGAGATACCAGGCGCACAGAAATCAGCAGAAGGTCGCTGCTTTTTTTAAATTCTCGTTTTTTCTTGTTTCTCTTTGTATTTCGTTGCTCTCTCTTTTCGCTCTAATTTTTCTCATTTTCTTCCTCCACTTTCCACCGCTCCAACGGCAGAAAACGGTTAAATTCAAATCTGAGATACCAGGCGCACAGAAATCAGCAGAAGGTCGCTGCTTTTTTTAAATTCTCGTTTTTTCTTGTTTCTCTTTGTATTTCGTTGCTCTCTCTTTTCGCTCTAATTTTTCTCATTTTCTGCCTCCACTTTCCACCGCTCAAATGGCAGAAAACCGTTAAATTCAAATCTGAAATACCAGGTGAACAGAAATCAGCAGAAGGTCGCTGCTTTTTTAAATTCTCGTTTTTTCTTGTTTCTCTTTGTGTTTCGTTGCTCTCTCTTTTCGCTCTAATTTTTCTCATTTTCTGCCTCCACTTTCCACCGCTCAAATGGCAGAAAACCGTTAAATTCAAATCTGAAATACCAGGCGCACAGAAATCAGCAGAAGGTCGCTGCTTTTTTTAAATTCTCGTTTTTTCTTGTTTCTCTTCGTGTTTCGTTGCTCTCTCTTTTCGCTCTAATTTTTCTCATTTTCTGCCTCCACTTTCCACCGCTCAAATGGCGGAAAACCGTTAAATTCAAATCTGAAATACCAGGCGCACAGAAATCAGCAGAAGGTCGCTGCTTTTTTTAAATTCTCGTTTTTTCTTGTTTCTCTTTGTGTTTCGTTGCTCTCTCTTTTCGCTCTAATTTTTCTCGTTTTCTGCCTCCACTTTCCACCGCTCAAATGGCGGAAAACCGTTAAATTCAAATCTGAGATACCAGGCGAACAGAAATCAGCAGAAGGTCGCTGCTTTTTTTAAATTCTCTTTTTTTCTTGTTTCTCTTTGTATTTCGTTGCTCTCTCTTTTCGCTCTAATTTTTCTCGTTTTCTGCCTCCACTTTCCACCGCTCAAATGGCAGAAAACCGTTAAATTCAAATCTGAGATACCAGGCGCACAGAAATCAGCAGAAGGTCGCTGCTTTTTTTAAATTCCGTTTTTTCTTGTTTCTCTTTCGTGTTTCGTTGCTCTCTCTTTTCGCTCTAATTTTTCTCATTTTCTGCCTCCACTTTCCACCGCTCAAATGGCGGAAACCGTTAAATTCAAATCGGAGATACCAGGCGCACAGAAAACAGCAGAAGGTCGCTGCTTTTTTTAAATTCTCGCTTTTTCTTGTTTCTCTTCGTGTTTCGTTGCTCTCTCTTTTCGCTCTAATTTTTCTCGTTTTCTGCCTCCACTTTCCACCGCTCAAATGGCAGAAAACCGTTAAATTCAAATCTGAGATACCAGGCGAATAGAAATCAGCAGAAGGTCGCTGCTTTTTTTAAATTCTCTTTTTTTCTTGTTTCTCTTTGTATTTCGTTGCCTTCTCTTTTCGCTCTAATTTTTCTCGTTTTCTGCCTCCACTTTCCACCGCTCAAATGGCAGAAAACCGTTAAATTCAAATCTAAGATACCAGGCGCACAGAAATCAGCAGAAGGTCGCTGCTTTTTTTAAATTCTCTTTTTTTCTTGTTTCTCTTTGTATTTCGTTGCTCTCTCTTTTCGCTCTAATTTTTCTCATTTTCTGCCTCCACTTTCCACCGCTCAAATGGCAGAAAACCGTTAAATTCAAATCGGAGATACCAGGCGCACAGAAATCAGCAGAAGGTCGCTGCTTTTTTAAATTCTCGTTTTTTCTTGTTTCTCTTCGTGTTTCGTTGCTCTCTCTTTTCGCTCTAATTTTTCTCGTTTTCTGCCTCCACTTTCCACCGCTCAAATGGCAGAAAACCGTTAAATTCAAATCTGAGATACCAGGCGCACAGAAATCAGCAGAAGGTCGCTGCTTTTTTAAATTCTCGTTTTTTCTTGTTTCTCTTCGTGTTTCGTTGCTCTCTCTTTTCGCTCTAATTTTTCTCATTTTCTGCCTCCACTTTCCACCGCTCAAATGGCGGAAAACCGTTAAATTCAAATCTGAGATACCAGGCGCACAGAAATCAGCAGAAGGTCGCTGCTTTTTTTAAATTCTCGTTTTTTCTTGTTTCTCTTCGTGTTTCGTTGCTCTCTCTTTTCGCTCTAATTTTTCTCATTTTTCTGCCTCCACTTTCCACCGCTCAAATGGCGGAAAACCGTTAAATTCAAATCGGAGATACCAGGCGCACAGAAATCAGCAGAAGGTCGCTGCTTTTTTTAAATTCTCGTTTTTTCTTGTTTCTCTTTGTATTTCGTTGCCCTCTCTTTTCGCTCTAATTTTTCTCATTTTCTGCCTCCACTTTCCACCGCTCAAATGGCGGAAAACCGTTAAATTCAAATCTGAGATACCAGGCGCACAGAAATCAGCAGAAGGTCGCTGCTTTTTTTAAATTCTTTTTTTTTTTGGTTCTCTTTGTATTTCGTTGCTCTTCTTTTCGCTCTAATTTTTCTCATTTTCTGCCTCCACTTTCCACCGCTCAAATGGCAGAAAACCGTTAAATTCAAATCTGAGATACCAGGCGTACAGAAATCAGCAGAAGGTCGCTGCTTTTTTTAAATTCTCGTTTTTTCTTGTTTCTCTTTGTATTTCGTTGCTCTCTCTTTTCGCTCTAATTTTTCTCATTTTCTGCCTCCACTTTCCACCGCTCAAATGGCAGAAAACCGTTAAATTCAAATTTGAGATACCAGGCGCACAGAAATCAGCAGAAGGTCGCTGCTTTTTCTAAATTCTCTTTTTTTTCTTGTTTCTCTTTGTATTTCGTTGCTCTCTCTTTTCGCTCTAATTTTTCTCATTTTCTGCCTCCACTTTCCACCGCTCAAATGGCAGAAAACCGTTAAATTCAAATCTGAGATACCAGGTGAACTAGAAATCAGCAGAAGGTCGCTGCTTTTTTTAAATTCTCGTTTTTTCTTGTTTCTCTTTGTATTTCGTTGCCCTCTCTTTTCGCTCTAATTTTTCTCATTTTCTGCCTCCACTTTCCAACGCTCAAATGGCAGAAAACCGTTAAATTCAAATCTGAAATACCAGGCGAACAGAAATCAGCAGAAGGTCGCTGCTTTTTTTAAATTCTCGTTTTTTCTTGTTTCTCTTCGTGTTTCGTTGCTCTCTCTTTTCGCTCTAATTTTTCTCATTTTCTGCCTCCACTTTCCACCGCTCAAATGGCGGAAAACCGTTAAATTCAAATCTGAGATACCAGGCGAACAGAAATCAGCAGAAGGTCGCTGCTTTTTTAAATTCTCTTTTTTTCTTGTTTCTCTTTGTATTTCGTTGCTCTCTCTTTTCGTTCTAATTTTTCTCATTTTCTGCCTCCACTTTCCACCGCTCAAATGGCAGAAAACCGTTAAATTCAAATCGGAGATACCAGGCGCACAGAAATCAGCAGAAGGTCGCTGCTTTTTTTAAATTCTCGTTTTTTCTTGTTTTCTCTTCGTGTTTCGTTGCTCTCTCTTTTCGCTCTAATTTTTCTCGTTTTCTGCCTCCACTTTCCACCGCTCAAATGGCAGAAAACCGTTAAATTCAAATCTGAGATACCAGGCGCACAGAAATCAGCAGAAGGTCGCTGCTTTTTTTAAATTCTCGTTTTTTCTTGTTTCTCTTTGTATTTCGTTGCCCTCTCTTTTCGCTATAATTTTTCTCATTTTCTGCCTCCACTTTCCACCGCTCAAATGCCAGAAAACCGTTAAATTCAAATCTGAGATACCAGGCGCACAGAAATCAGCAGAAGGTCGCTGCTTTTTTTAAATTCTCTTTTTTTCTTGGTTCTCTTTGTATTTCGTTGCCCTCTCTTTTCGCTATATTTTTTCTTATTTTCTGCCTCCACTTTCCACCGCTCAAATGGCAGAAAACCGTTAAATTCAAATCTGAGATACCAGGCGCACAGAAATCAGCAGAAGGTCGCTGCTTTTTTTAAATTCTCGTTTTTTCTTGTTTCTCTTTGTATTTCGTTGCTCTCTCTTTTCGCTCTAATTTTTCTCATTTTCTGCCTCCACTTTCCACCGCTCAAATGGCAGAAAACAGTTAAATTCAAATTTGAGATACCAGGCGCACAGAAATCAGCAGAAGGTCGCTGCTTTTTCTAAATTCTCTTTTTTTCTTGTTTATCTTTGTATTTCGATGCCCTCTCTTTTCGCTATATTTTTTCTCATTTTCTGCCACCACTTTCCACCGCTCAAATGGCAGAAAACCGTTAAATTCAAATCAGAGATACCAGGCGCCCAGAAATCAGCAGAAGGTCGCGGCTTTTTTTAAATTCTCGTTTTTTCTTGTTTCTCTTTGTATTTCGTTGCCCTCTCTTTTCGCTATAATTTTTCTCATTTTCTGCCACCACTTTCCAACGCTCAAATGCCAGAAAACCGTTAAATTCAATTCTAAAATACCAGGCGCACAGAAATCAGCAGAAGGTCTCTGCTTTTTTTAAATTCTCGTTTTTTCTTGTTTCTCTTTTTTCGTTGCTTCTTTCGTGTTTTTTTTTAAATAAATAAACGAAAGGAAATGGCTTAAATTCAAAATTCAAAATCCATATCACAGTGACCACCAAACTCAATTTGCTGCGAATCCGCGCCAAGACCAAGGCCTCACCAATGGGAGCCGAAAGCGGTCCCAGCACGGCGTCGACAGATCTACCTCAGGATCGGCGCAATCTGGGTGACGATGACACAATAGACAGCAGGAGTGCCATCTACGACAGCGATGGCGAGAGCACGGGTGGCTCGTCCACCGAAAGTGAAAACACACCGCCGGGCGCCGCCACTGAGAATGCGGCCGGGACTGAGTAAGTTCTCCTGGTCTATGCTGACTGGATTCCTGCTAAAATATGCCCACTGCGATTGTTTCAGATTCTTCCAGCACTCGCCGGGGAACGCGCGACGCATCTTCAAAATCGTCGACCGCATAGCCGCCTCAAATCTGTTCCAATATGCCACCGAGCTGCCGTACGTGCAGCGAGCCATGGAGAACATGAATGCCAACATCACACTGCGCGTAGATCTCAAGGGTATGGTGGCCCGTGGGACAATCAACATACCGCCCCCGCCCTCCGATCGGGTGTGGGTGTGCTTCCGGGGGCCACCACGCCTGTGGATATCCACCAAGCCCCAAGTGGGCGACAAGTCCGTCGACTGGTCCATTGTTACCAACGTCATTGAGAGCAAGCTGTGCGAGGGTCAACAAGTTTTTGGTCTACCCGAATATGGTGGACTTTACCATACCCTTCCTGGCCAAACCCAGCTACGAGGACGAGTCGCCAGCATCGCCCAACTGAATACCAAAAAGGAGATTATTATTTTTTATATCATCTGAATTTAACACAAAGTGTGTGCAGATTTTCCACATTATATCTTATTTCGGAGATTAACTTGAAGCTTAGCTTAGATCCGAGATCTCTCTGGCACCCACCACGTGTACTTAGCCGTTAAGAGCAGAAAGACGATGAGCAGCGAAGATTGATTCCAAATGACAAGTTAAAAAACGCTTAAACGCCTATTTCGATCACACTCCAGAACAATCTACATCCATATTATTCTAAGTAGCTTAGGTTTGTTTATCTGTACAACTAATCGTACTATAACTTACAATTATATCAGACAAGTCAAAGGCTTATGACTTGCATTTTAACAGCCGCTCTGTGACGTCAACAAGACAACTATTCCAATAGCATAATGCAGGCATATAATAACTTCCCAACTAACTTAACTCGTAAATAAATATATAAAAATATATTGTATTTCAATTAGATTGCTAAGAATGCGTGTGAATTTTATATAATAACCGATTTTATTTCCGGTGTGTGGTTTCATTTATCATCAATCATTATACATACATATGTACTTAAAGCGTTTTAACTAAAATAAGCATACATATTACTCGTAAGCAGGAAAGGAACGAATTCGTACTTCCGTTTGCCAAATGAGAAACAAAACTATTTGCAAAAGTTCCCTTGAAAACTGAAATATCATTTACAGACTTATGTGAAAAGAATTAAACAAAATAACTAACTTTAGTAAACACATGAATATATGTAAATACAACATATGTACTTATTTATGTACGTGTATACCTTTTAAATAAATAAACGAAAGGAAATGGCTTAAATTCAAAATTTTTGAACTATTTTTATTTTTGTATATTTTCTAGGGAAAATTCCTTGATCCTTGAAAAGAAAGCTTTTCCGTTGACAAGACGCCCAGATCGGCACACAAATTTTTGGTTAATTGTTGTACAACAAAAGCTGTTGCTGTTATTATTGTACAACAACCGCCCTGAATTTGGTGGCGCTCAAACCCGAGATTATGTATTTTCAGATCGGCTTATATCAGGCTAACAGAAATCCGCAGAAGGTCGCTGCTTTTTTTAATTTCTCTTTTTTCTTGTTTCTCTTTTTATTTCGTTGCTCTCTCTTATCGCTCTAATTTTTCTGATTTTCTGCCTCCACTTTCCATTGCTCAAATGGCAGAAAACGGTTAAATTCAAATCTGGGATACCAGGCGAACAGAAATCAGCAGAAGGTCGCGGCTTTTTTTAATTTTTCGTATTTTCTTGTTTCTCTTTGTATTTCGTTGCTCTCTCTTTTCGCTCTAATTTTTCTCATTTTCTGCCTCCACTTTCCACCGCTCAAATGACAGAAAACCGTTTAATTCAAATCATAGATACCAGGCGCACAGAAATCAGCACAAGGTTGCTGGTTTTTTTTTTTTTAATTTCTCGTTTTTTCGTGTTTCTCTTTGTATTTCGTTGCTCTCTCTTTTCGCTCTAATTTTTCTCATTTTCTGCCTCCACTTTCCACCGCTCAAATGGCAGAAAACCGTTAAATTCAAATCAGAGATACCAGGCAAACAGAAATCCGCAGAAGGTCGCTGCTTTTTTAATTTCTCTTTGTATTTCGTTTCTCTCTTTTTTTCGATCTACTTTTTCTCATTTTCTGCCTCCACTTTCCACCGCTCAAATGGCAGAAAACGGCTAAATTCAAATCTGGGATACCAGGCGAACAGAAATAAGCAGAAGGTCGCTGCTTTTTTTAATATCTCTTTTTTCTTGGTTCCTTTGTATTTCGTTGCTCTCTCTTTTCGCTCTAATTTTTCTCATTTTCTGCCTCCACTTTCCACCGCTCAAATGGCAGAAAACCGTTAAATTCAAATCTGAGATACCAGGCGAACAGAAATCAGCAGGAGGTAGCTTTTTTAATTTCTCTTTTTTTCTTGTTTCTCTTTGTATTTCGTTTCTCTCTTTTTCTCGATCTACTTTTTCTCAATTTCTGCCTCCACTTTCCACCGCTCAAATGGCAGAAAACGGTTAAATTCAAATCTGGGATACCAGGCGAACAGAAATCAGCAGAAGGTCGCTGCTCTTTTAATTTCTCTTTTTTTCTTGTTTCTCTTTGTATTTCGTTGCTCTCTCTTTTCGCTCTAATTTTTCTCATTTTCTGCCTCCACTTTCCACCGCTCAAATGGCAGAAAACCGTTAAATTCAAATCTGAGATACCAGGCGAACAGAAATCGGCAGAAGGTCGCTGCTTTTTTTAAATTCTCGTTTTTTCTTGTTTCTCCTTGTATTTCGTTGCCCTCTCTTTTCGCTATTATTTTTTTTTATTTTCTGCCTCCACTTTCCACCGCTCAAATGGCAGAAAACAGTTAAATTCAAATTTGAGATACCAGGCGCACAGAAATCAGCAGAAGGTCGCGGCTTTTTCTAAATTCTCTTTTTTTTCTTGTTTATCTTTGTATTTCGATGACCTCTCTTTTCGCTATATTTTTTTCTCATTTTCTGCCACCACTTTCCACCGCTCAAATGGCAGAAAACCGTTAAATTCAAATCAGAGATACCAGGCGCCCAGAAATCAGCAGAAGGTCGCGGCTTTTTTTTAATTCTCGTTTTTTCTTGTTTCTCTTTGTATTTCGTTGCCCTCTTTTCGCTACAATTTTTCTCATTTTCTGCCACCACTTTCCAACGCTCAAATGCCAGAAAACCGTTAAATTCAATTCTAAAATACCAGGCGCACAGAAATCAGCAGATGGTCTCTGCTTTTTTTAAATTCTCGTTTTTTCTTGCTTCTCTTCGTGTTTCGTTGCTCTCTCGTTTCGCTCTAATTTTTCTCATTTTCTGCCTCCACTTTTTACCGCTCAAATGGCAGAAAACCAATAAATTCAAATCTGAGATACCAGGCGCACAGAAATCAGCAGAAGGTCGCTGCTCCTTTTAAATTCTCTTTTTTTCTTGTTTCTATTTGTATTTCGTTGCCCTCTCTTTTCGCTATTTTTTTTCTCGTTTTCTGCCTCCACTTTCCACCTCTCAAATGGCAGAAAACCGTTAAATTCAAATCTGAGATACCAGGCGCACAGAAATCAGCAGAAGGTCCCTGCTTTTTTTAAATTCTCGTTTTTTCTTGTTTCTCTTTGCATTTCGTTGCTCTCTCTTTTCGCTCTAATTTTTCTCATTTTCTGCCTCCACTTTCCACCGCTCAAACGGCAGAAAACCGTTAAATTCAAATCTGAGATACCAGGCGCACAGAAATCAGCAGAAGGTCACTCCTTTTTTTAAATTCTCTTTTTTTCTTGGTTCTCTTTGTATTTCGTTGCCCTCTCTTTTCGCTCTAATTTTTCTCATTTTCTGCCTCCACTTTCCACCGCTCAAATGGCAGAAAACCGTTAAATTCAAATCTGAGATACCAGGCGAACAGAAATCGGCAGAAGGTCGCTGCTTTTTTTAAATTCTCGTTTTTCTTGTTTCTCCTTGTATTTCGTTGCCCTCTCTTTTCGCTATTATTTTTTTTTATTTTCTGCCTCCACTTTCCACCGCTCAAATGGCAGAAAACAGTTAAATTCAAATTTGAGTACCAGGCGACAGAATCAGCAGAAGGTCCGCTCTAAATTTCTTTCTTGTTTGTATTTCGTGCTTCTTTCGCTTTTTTTCTCATTTTCTCCCCACTTCCACCGCTCAAATGGCAGAAAACCGTTAAATTCAAATCTGAGATACCAGGCGAACAGAAATCGGCAGAAGGTCGCTGCTTTTTTTAAATTCTCGTTTTTTCTTGTTTCTCCTTGTATTTCGTTGCCCTCTCTTTTCGCTATTATTTTTTTTTATTTTCTGCCTCCACTTTCCACCGCTCAAATGGCAGAAAACAGTTAAATTCAAATTTGAGATACCAGGCGCACAGAAATCAGCAGAAGGTCGCTGCTTTTTTTAAATTCTCGTTTTTTCTTGTTTCTCTTTGTATTTCGTTGCCCTCTCTTTTCGCTATAATTTTTCTCATTTTCTGCCTCCACTTTCCACCGCTCAAATGGCAGAAAACCAATAAATTCAAATCTGAGATACCAGGCGCACAGAAATCAGCAGAAGGTCGCTGCTCCTTTTAAATTCTCTTTTTTTCTTGTTTCTATTTGTATTTCGTTGCCCTCTCTTTTCGCTATTTTTTTTCTCGTTTTCTGCCTCCACTTTCCACCTCTCAAATGGCAGAAAACCGTTAAATTCAAATCTGAGATACCAGGCGCACAGAAATCAGCAGAAGGTCCCTGCTTTTTTTAAATTCTCGTTTTTTCTTGTTTCTCTTTGCATTTCGTTGCTCTCTCTTTTCGCTCTAATTTTTCTCATTTTCTGCCTCCACTTTCCACCGCTCAAACGGCAGAAAACCGTTAAATTCAAATCTGAGATACCAGGCGCACAGAAATCAGCAGAAGGTCACTCCTTTTTTTAAATTCTCTTTTTTTCTTGGTTCTCTTTGTATTTCGTTGCCCTCTCTTTTCGCTATATTTTTTCTTATTTTCTGCCTCCATTTTCCACCGCTCAAACGGCAGAAAACCGTTAAATTCAAATCTGAGATACCAGGCGCACAGAAATCAGCAGAAGGTCGCTGCTTTTTTTAAATTCTCGTTTTTTCTTGTTTCTCTTTGCATTTCGTTGCTCTCTCTTTTCGCTCTAATTTTTCTCATTTTCTGCCTCCACTTTCCACCGCTCAAATGGCGGAAAACCGTTAAATTCAAATCTGAGATACCAGGCGCACAGAAATCAGCAGAAGGTCGATGCTTTTTTTAAATTCTCGTTTTTTCTTGTTTCTCTTTGTATTTCGTTGCTCTCTCTTTTCGCTTTACTTTTTCTCATTTTCTGCCTCCACTTTCCACCGCTCAAATGGCAGAAAACCGTTAAATTCAAATCTGAAATACCAGGTGAACAGAAATCAGCAGAAGGTCGCTGCTTTTTTTAAATTCTCGCTTTTTCTTGTTTCTCTTCGTGTTTCGTTGCTCTCTCTTTTCGCTCTAATTTTTCTCGTTTTCTGCCTCTACTTTCCACCGCTCAAATGGAAGAAAACCGTTAAATTCAAATCTGAGATACCAGGCGCACAGAAATCAGCAGAAGGTCGCTGCTTTTTTTAAATTCTCGTTTTTTCTTGTTTCTCTTTGTATTTCGTTGCCCTCTCTTTTCGCTATAATTTTTCTCATTTTCTGCCTCCACTTTCCACCGCTCAAATGCCAGAAAACCGTTAAATTCAAATCTGAGATACCAGGCGCACAGAAATCAGCAGAAGGTCGATGCTTTTTTTAAATTCTCGTTTTTTCTTGTTTCTCTTTGTGTTTCGTTTCTCTCGCTTTTTGCTCTAATTTTTCTCGTTTTCTTCCTCCACTTTCCACCGCTCAAATGGCGGAAAACCGTTAAATTCAAATCTGAGATACCAGGCGAACAGAAATCAGCAGAAGGTCGC